TTTCATTTTTTAATGCTCTTTTCAACGAGATATCACAAAGAGGGTCCTCCCATTTGAAAAAAATTATTTTAGGGAGGCGAAAAAGTAGCTCCCTTTGACCTAGGAACATTCCCCAAGTTTCAAATCTTTATCTCAATTAGGTACAAAGTTAGAGGGGGTGGAAGTGACTTTTGGATCACCCTGTATATTGCCAAAAAGGACTAAATGAAGCAAGCATGCCTGTGACTTTAAAGAAGTAAATATCGTCGTCATTTTGAATTTGTTGCAGTTCAAAGGATCAGGATCGATTATAAACCTCCTATTCCGATTCTAAGACTTTGATGCAAAGACGTCTTTTTTTGCCCCCCCCCCCCGGAATTTCTTTAAACTTTGTCTGTGTACTACTCATACTTGAGCACTTCTTTTCCCAAATATTCAGAGGCTAAGGGGGGGGGGAGTCAAAACCTGTGAACCTCGATATCTTTCGAACGAAGAAAGATATCGAGGTCCGTGTTAAGGTTCGTGGGAGAGCGGATAAAACATAACATTAGTTTTTAACGACACAGCTTTTATTGTTTAACAGTAAAAGAAAAGACGGAGCACGTCAAGAATTGAATCACGCTCAAACTATCGATCCAGCGGATAAAACCAGAAAGAAAGAAGCTAATAGAAAAAATAAAAATGACGTCCAAGCGCCCCTGCTAAAAATGACCATATTGGTAACAGGTTGAGACCATGTTGTTACCAACAGGGTCTAAAACGCCCATGTTGGTATCATGATGATGTCAACATGGTATCTATGTGATATCAACTTGGGGTAAAAGACCAACATGATACCAACATGCTAGCAATATGGCAAGTCCCAATATGATATAAACATGATTTTAAAAAAATGTTGTTAACAACATTGCACAAATATGGTAACATGATGATATCAATTTGGACTTTCTTACCATCATGATAAAGAGTTGATGTAAAGTTGGTATCTGTCCCACCATGGGATCATACTGATATCATTGCACTGAAAAAAAAAAAGTTCGGTGATTTTTACCGAACCCTTCGGTACACGGTTGTTCGGTGGTACAAACCTAAGTATTGGGTTTTATGAACCGAACGGAATTACGGCGTTTGGAACACACGACCAACCGAGTTCGGTGAGGTTTTACCGAACTTTTAAGGTCACGGAAACCGATCTTTCGGTTATTCGCACCGAACTTGCAGTATATGTTGGGAGGAAGTCGGAAACGTTCGGTTGGCGTCTTATTATTGTGTGTGTTGATCCACAGATATTTTCAAAGTCGATTTTCTTATTCTTGCCTTTGTAGCCTCATTAATTTTTGAAATCCATGTTGATATTTTTTCTGTGAGTAAATTTTCCCTTATACCTTTTTTTTTTATCTATTTTACTCTCAAAACTCATGTGTGCATTGAATAAAATTTCATTCATATCTGCAGCTTAAAGTCAAAAGAATGTTGCTCAATTAAGATAGGACCAGGAGTTAATTATAAAAATTATTAAATAAAATTAAGAATTTATATTATTAATATGATAAATCATAATATAATAAATTATTAATGATATTATTCATTTTTCATTAAATTATATTATTCATTTATCTAATTTTCATTTTTAATAACTATTTATCCGTCCATATTTTGATTCATTTATTTTCATATGCTGTTCCTACTCCTCTCTCTCAAAAACTTGATCTACTTTATATTATTTTCGTATCCTTCATTGGGAAACTGAATGATGTACAGAATTGCAAGAATATCATTGCTTCTAATCATTGAACCAGATCTGAGGACGTTTATTAGTGCTAAATTAGCCTCCTCCCCCACGCGAGCGTCCGTGGCGGAGTGGCAGCGACACTCGGGCGACCATCGAAGTTCAGCAATGTCGGTCGTAATAATTAGTACTTCGATGGGTGATCGTTTGGGAACTCGGGCGCAGCGCGGCTTAATTCCGGCGAACATTGATTGTCGGGTTCTCAGCGTCACTTCTCTGGTGTCCGCGATGAAAATTAAGCCTAAGAACTTGCAGCACGCCTAAAAAGCATTTTGGAACTTTTTTTTTTCAGTGTGTGATATCATATTGGTAGGTAACATGTTGATATCATGGTGATAACATGTCGATATCACATATGTTAACAGGTTTCATTCACCCTGTTGCTACCATGTTGGGCCAGACCAACTTGTTACCATTATGGTCATTTTTCGCAGGGAACGTGAGCCTGGGGCTCCTCAGAGGCAAAAAGCCTCGAATCCTGTCTTCTTTCACTCACCTAACGTTGTTCCCCCTCCCGTGATCAGCTGAAAAATCCGCTCCTCTGTTTGGTCAGGGGAATTGCCAGAGTGATGCTTCAAGGCAAACTCGAAACCCCACCTAACAGAGCGCAGCCCTACCAACTGAACAACGGAGAGGCAAGCAAAGTCAGGGAGTCAGTCGCCGTACTCAACAGTCCGGTTTGAACGAAAAATCGTCTACAGTTGCATACTTTAAGATTCTAAGGGTCAAAATTCCGAAGTCACATTTCAAGTTAACACTTTTTTCAGTTTTTGAGTCGAAATAATTTCTTTTAAACAAAGAATTTTCAAATTACTCAATTTGTTAGTTGAATCAAAACCAGTTTTTTAGATCGGTCATCTTTCTTCGCTTCCAGCGAGTGGTTTATTAAGCTGGGGAACCGACGAGAGTTGTGGACAATTGAAGTTTCCGCTCCACGCGCGCCGATCGATTTGCGAGCGCCAAAATATGGTTCCAAAGCCGGATTTGGGTGTTAATAAATCAGATTAAATGTTCAAACCGCGCAAAATAAAGTTTTAGGGATTCTTGACGGTCGCTGAGTTCAAAAATTATAGATACTTCCAAAAATGTACTCTTTTTCCGGTAGCGCTATACTTGACAGGCCCACCGGGTGCCGACCGACCGGCGCGCGTTGAGCGGAAACTTCAATCGTCCATAATTCTCGAACCCTTCGGTTCCCTAGCTTACTGGACCACTCGTTGGATGCAGAAAAAGACGAGCAATTCAAAAAACTGTTTTTTTTTCTTTTTGGGCGAGGGGAAAAATTCGCTACAGTGCCTCCTAGAGTACCTTTATAGACAGAGAACCCATGGCCATTTCTGTACCGGTTTTTCATTGGTCGCGAGAAAATAGGCTGACACGATGTTCTTACGACCGTAAATAAACAAACAGCAAGCAAATTTGCGGTTATGCACATCTTACATCCTCCTGTGAGAAAGGCGAAAGGCGATTTAACAGTGTTTTCATGTGTTATTCGTAGATATGCTAGTTTAAATTGTTACTGCCTTATAATTGAAATTTTTGTCAAATTTTAGCTTCTTAGTAATGTTACGCCGCAATCTTCTTTGTTTATTTACGGCCGTAAGAGCATGACGAAGCCTGAAAACTCGTTGACCAATCAAAAAGCGGCACACTTTTCCTGTAGTTAAAAGATACGAATGGCCATACTCTGCCTATAAAGGTACTCTAGTGCCCCCATCATGAGGGTCGCCGGAACGCCCCCGGCCCCACGGCCCGGAAAACACCCCGTTGGAAAAACCCGGTTATGTATGGTTGGAGCACGCCGCCGTGTTCCGTACCCACTAAACGACCCCTCCAGGCCACAGCCCATGCAAGTGTGGCCCATCGGGCGCTCTATCCTCTCGTCGGATGTCCCTAAGGCACTCTTCGAACGGCAGTCCCCGACCCCGGCCCCGGTGAAGCCGGCGCCCCTCAGGGCCCCACTTGGGGGAGGGTCCCCCCATCCCCCGTGACCGATCTGCTCAGAGACAAGAGACCCTCCACTAGTATCTTGGCCATGTTGAAAGCTTTTACTTTCGGGACTTCAGCATTCTACTGTTGACTTACCTACATGGTTGATGTTCAACAACGTGTTGGCAGTTTCGTTTTGCAAACAAGCCGAAAATGGCCGACGTTTGGGAAAGTTGTTTGGCTCATGACGTCATCCGAAGCTCATCATCGACCATGTAGGTAAGTCAACAGCCGAAACTAGCGTGATGACTGTTGCTCCCTAATAATTGTCCATAAGGAATTGTTGAAACCCCGAAAGTAAAAGCTTCCACCTGTCGCTAGGAGGTCAGTGGAGGGTCTCTTGTCTCTGGATCTGCTGCAGCCGTTATTGTACCCGGAGTCAGGGGCGTAGGAGGAGTTCTCGGCCCAGCTTGCGCGAAACCCTGCGGCAACCCCACGACAGGGCTTTGGAGCCGAAGTACTGGAGGGCAGACCAGCTACGTCTCGCTCAACCCTCTAGGCACCCTATCTTATGCTGCCCCAGAAGGGGGCAGCTTACACATGACTCAGCTCCGCGGGTGCGTCAAACCTGATATCCCCAATTGAACTGGTTTTGGTTCAAATAAAAAATTAAGCAATTTGAAAATTCCGTGTTTAAAAGAAATTTTTTCGACTCAATGTTAACCACATATATTAATTGGAAAATGTGATTTCGGGATTTTGACCTTTAGACTCTTAAAGTAGGTATACAATTTTAGACGACCATACTGGCCACCACAGGAATCAGATTTTTGGGCCAGCTCGGTACGTTCTGGAAAAATTTGAGGAGGCCAACATCGAAATCCTGTTCCAGAACACCAAGACGGAGAGATTAAGTCAATCCCACATTTCTTATCATACACTATGGCCAACGGGACCAGAAAATGAACACGTGCCCCCAGACTACTTACATAAAAAATGCTTCGCTATGCTCACTTTGAATGAATTCCAACAATAAATTTTGAGATAATGATGCAAATACACCGCTGAGCAAAGAGTCGGTATAGCCTCGCGAGGTCCGGAATTTTTTTTCCCCCTTAAATTTTACAGTTTTTAACCTATATGTATGTTTCCTTGTGTTACCTTTTGTGTAGGTACTGAAGTACGGATGACTGAAATTGTTTTCATCAAATATATTAGTGAGAATGTAGGTTTCTTTGGGAAGTTAGTACACTGCTCCGTAGACTGGAGTTTCAGATCTTTTGGTAGAGGGAAGAAAACTCACCAAACTTGGATCTCCTGCTCGTTTGCGCTGCAGATACATGGCAGGATGGTTTTGGGGTCGGGGCAAGTTGTAGTAGCCTGTGTTATCCTGCACATTAGTACTAGAAGACTCGCCACCAAAGCTCTATTCCACGAGGCCATAAACAAACTGCACATGACTGCATCATTCTACCATATGAGGTAAAGTTCCCGCAGAATACCTAACGTTTTCCTGAAAATTAAAGATAATAATTATGTCTGCGACATTAAATATTTTCATCGTTTCAGAGACAAATGTCTTCATGAATTCATGATGAATAAGACGATTAATGAAACTTAAAGAAATGTATTCTTTTCATTTTTGTAGAGATTGCGTACTGACTTACTGATTTTTTCTTCACAGCCTTAACCACAAATAACTCCTGATGCTTTTACCAGGAAGCGAGACTCAATGACACGACTTCATACAGGGTGCGGCAAAAGTCCCGGGACCCCTGTTTAATTTTTTTACGGCTGCAGCTAGGAAAATGAAATTTGGGGGGTAGTCCTAGGTCAATGAAATCTACTTTTTGACCCCCCAAAATTTTGGGGGGGGGGGTTACGGACCCTAACTTTTTTTTCAAATGGGAAGACCCTCTTTGTGATACTTCGTTCGAAAGAGCATAAAAAAAGAAAAATTTTCGCGTAAACCCGAAGCCATTATCTCAAACCGTTTCAAAATGAAGGCTGGTCAAAGTTCAAAATGGCCGAAAATTGGCACCTCTGCTATTTGCACATGATTTGCTTGAAACTCGGTATCTGGGGGTATTTTGGCACGAGAAAAAAGAATTTGACGTTAGATTTTTAAAAAACCCTAATTTTTCAAAATGGCCGCCGGTTTAGGCTCAAAGTGGCCGAAAATTTGACAAACTCGGTTTTTTGGGTTTGTTTACAAATCTAACGTCGAATTCGTTCTTCTCGGGTCAAAATAACCCCAGAAACCGAATTTCAGGCGAATCCATCGGCAAAAAATCACAAAAAAGATATAAAAATGTGTTTTACAACGAGAAGCTCCTAGATCTGAGGGAACTGGGGAGAGGAGGGAGAGATTCAGAGGGGGAGAGGGGGCAGTTCATGGGTGGAAAGAGAATTTGGGACCTAAATTATAGAAGACGAAGTAGGAAAATCATAAAATTCTACAAAAGCATCGCAGCTATCGAATAATCATGTATCCTCAATACGGGCCTCGGAGGCCCGGGTTAGTCATTCTAGGGGTAGACATGAAAAAAAGAAATTGCTGTTCCCAAAAAAAAATTTTTTTTTGAATTTTTTTTCCAGGAATAATGTTCCTAAGCGTTTTTGTAGAGCTCTTTGTGAAGGGCAGACTTCTCGGATAATTACAGCTGCCATTGCGCGAAAAATAAGAAGCCGCCGGGCCTCATAGACCCGGTTCGTCATCCAAGGGTTAAATATTAAGTGCAATATCGAATCGCTTCCTTATCCAGCACCCGTGTTCCCGAAATGTCTGCTTGTTTATGAGTACATTCTATCACGAGAAAGTACACTGCAAGTCGATGGTTCATTTTCCCAAAATGTATCATGGCTCTACATCTGGAAGCAGATAAAAAAAAATCTACTTTTCGGAGGTTCGGTTGAAAAAAACTGTTTTTAAATACCCCATGGCATTTTGAAACGGTTTGAAAGGTCAACAAATATTTTCTATGCACACTCTTATCACGAGAAAGTATTCTGTAAGACGATCAGTCGAGCAGCTACGTACAGTCTTCTCAACCGAGAGGAAAAATGCGCGCTTTACACAACTTTGGGGTGTTGTAGGTTAACCGCTTGTTTTTGCTTCCGTTTTAGAACACTTTAGGCAGGTGCTATATGTATGCGCGCAATTGCTTTTTTTGGAAGATTAAGACTCACGGTTGATTTTTGCGCAGGAAGGGAAAGACTACGATTTGCTAGTAGTCTGATGCACCCAACGAAAAAAATTCTATTATAAAATGCGCAAAGAACGAATATTCCGATGAGACAACATTGACGGAAAAATATTATGCGGACGAAAATCTGACACGATTGGCACGGATTTCTAGAGCTTGTAATGAGAGCAGGAGAGTTGTGGGGAGATTGGTTGATAAAGGAACGGGCGTGCGCGATGAAATACCGGAAGCAAGGGTGAAAGACTTCTGATTACTTTCCCTTCTTAGCATCTTTACATCTGGGTATATTTCTAAGGCAACCTTGAAACTGCATCTCACCAGGCTGTTGTTATTCTCTGATCAATCTAAATCGCTGCTTGTGGTCATTTTGGTGGTAACTACAAAAATTTGAATGGAATACGCCACTACTCTCTATTACGTCAAAGCTTTATCATACACCCCTAGTGGCATATCTTGTGATATGATTAGTAAAAAAAAATTAAAACTGGTAAATTTTATTAGTACAAATTTGGGTTCAAAGACGTAAAAAAATTGGGGAATAGAGCTGAAATTTTTAAAAAAAATTCGCGATTTTTTACGCACAGAAAATCAGGAAAGAAATTCAGAAAAAAATTAAATCTGTAAAAAATCATAGATTTTGTACGTAAAAAAAGTTCAAAAGAAATTCGAGGAAGACAAATGTTTTCCGTTTTGAAACTACGATTTTTACGTTCAAAACTATCGTCACTGAATTTTTCCTGATTTTTTTACATAAAAAATCACTATTTTTTTTTTTACTTTTACCTCTTCGAGCATCTATTTTATATGTAAAAGTTTTGGGAACACCCAAAAAATTGGGGGAGAATGTCTGCGCTGAAAATTCGCTAAATTGACCAAACAGGAAATACCTTTGTACTTTTTATTACGAGGAAATTAGGCAAAAAATTCTAATGTCCCCCGAAGATTTTTTGTAAAAAAAAGTATGGCCCAAAAACTGGATACAAAAACACATTGTTCTGAGCGAAGAAACCAGAGTTTTTAAAAGTTCGAGAAGATTTTTAATAACTAATCTTTATTAATATAAATAAGACTTTATTATAAAAAATTGATGCATGTTATAATAAAATTTAAGAAAAGAAAAAGGAAAAAGGGGGACAAATTATTAAAGTGTACATACTTCTTTACATATATTCATGAACAACAAAGGTACTTTTGAAAGTAGGTACTTGAAAATTTCTATGATAAATATTAGTTTTTGCCCTTATCCAGTTTTTCCAAATTCAAAAAAAAATATTCGGCAATTCGTTCTCACGCATATATTCAACAATAAAAATATTCACTTATAAAGCGCAAATTTGCCCCTCTCATACAGAAGCCTCGTTCGCTCAGTAGGTAGCGCATTCGATTCTTGATAGGCAGGTCCCAGGTTCAATTCCCGACAGGTAGATAATAATTTGAAAGATGATCTCAAGGACAATTATCAACGGTTGCAGGGTTAGTCGCGGAAAAATGGAAGAAAATGACCGATTTCCGAAGGTTAGTTTCGATTTTAGGGATTTAAAGGGGGGGGGGTCTAAGGGTGGGTGAGTCCCACAATTTGACAAGGGGAAAAATTACGGTCCTCGTTTAGGACCCTCTATAGATGAAAAATCGGGTGAGAAAATAAGTTCCACTCGCAAATTCGCATAGGGGTCTTTATTTTTACCAAATGACTGGAATAAATGAGAAAATCCATATAAAATATGATGGACCGAAAATTTTGTAATAAGAGGTAAGTATCAAGACACTCCTATTGCGATGGAATATTTCTTAAAGAATATTATAAATTAATAATCGACAATGTTGGTCTAAGTAATGAAGACTCTAATACCTAGGTACTTAGGATATTAAGACGGCATTAATCTAATACTATGACGTCATCAAAAGACGCATTGTTGAAGTCAGAATTGAAACCGCTGAGTTGCTGAGCCCAGCTAAAGTGTTGTTAAACGTTTTTTTGGAGTTACCCGCTGAGCTGCCTCATTGTAAACAAAGGTCGCCATCTTCTCAGAAAAATTGGTCAGCGCTCAGCAGCGGGTCAAAGGCTGACCGATTTTGCTGAGAAGATGGCGACTTTTATTTATTAACAATTTTACGTCATTGCTAAGCGGATAACTATAAAAACGGCGGATTGACGTCATCTCGCTGACTTTAATTTTTAACTTTAACACCGGGTCTAAAGGGTGTTCCGATGGCGCGGCGTCACAAAGAATCATTTCGATGACGTCATCAATGGTTTTTAGGTGGGTTGTCAAAGTCTCCGAAGCGAGCGCTCCAGAGTTACCTGGAGACGTAAACAACCGTTGTTGGACCTCGGAGGAATTACCCAAAGACCTGCTACGTCACGCTATGTCAGTCTCCTGACAGCTTTCCAATTCTCCGATCTCTCGAGGTCGGAGACTACCGGAGAGTGACGCAGAAGTGGTTCGCTTATTCCTCTACACCTCATGTCTTTTTCTGGCTTTTTTCTCAGGCAACATATTCCAATTTTGAGCCTCCTGTTCACTTATTGTTATGAAAGTTTTGAAAATGGAGGAATATGGAAGATTTCGTCGACTTTATGTATTCGATGGGTATCAAATGTAAACAAATCCGGCAGACGACGACGACAAAGCGGATAGCTGACGTCAGTCACCAGGTAATCCTCCAAGCTCTCTGGTCGACGATCCTCCGAAGAGCAGACTGGAGAGTTTAACAACGCAACTAATGCTAGCAGCGGTAGTCAGTATACATTATCACCAGGTGTTCCCCCATGACGTCTTTATGGTTGCAATAATGGCGTTATGGCACGTGTCCCGATTACTTGCTCAACGGACGCCCATAAATAATCAACAGATATTCCAGGTCATAAACCATGCCCCTATGACATGTTCAGCCGAACACATCTGGATAAGCCATTAGCCGGGAAAAGCCGTAGGTAATTAGTGGGAATGGGCGCCCCAATGGCGTCAATCGTAAAGCAATTTAAAATGCAGGTTAACAAGGCTACCTAATTTCCACGAATAAAACCAAATCGTTTCGGCTGAAAACTCAGCCTTCCTCAGTTGGATAAAATAGTAAAAAGAAAAATGTTGTTATGAAAGAACTTCAGAAGAAGATTCTTTCACAACAACATTCTCTCTTTGAAATGTACAGCCAAGTACAGCTACTATATTAGATTTGTACAATTTTTCTTTTTACTACCTAAGTACGTACTTTATCCAACTGAAGAAGGCTGAGTTTTCACCCAAAACGTTTTGGTTTTATTTGTAAAAATTAGCCTTGTTACCCGCTTTTTAAATTGTTTTAA